TTCAATGAAGCTGCTGCAGCAATCTAAAGTGCTGCAGAACAGCTACTCAGCGCTTTGCTAAGGTACCGAACATGCCACTGGAGATCCGTCCTGTAACAGCACTTCATGTTGCAGACTGAAAACATTAAAGTGACACTAAACTCAGGAGTTAAATCTTAATAATACATTGAAGTACCTTAACTATTAATAAAAATGTATCTTATTTGTGTATCACTCGGCTGTAGATGCTCAAATCATCTCTGAATTGGTGCTGACGCGGTCCTTCCTTCTGGAGGGTGGCTACTTTTGTTCCCCATGGTCCCTGTGTGTGTTGTAAAGTAGTCACCGCTACAATCTCAATACAAATTAGTAAAGCTAACATGAGATTGTAGTCCATTGCGGGAGCGAGCTTGAAGTGGTGGCTACTTTACAACACACACACACAGGGACCATGGGGAACAAAAGTAGCCACCCTCCAGAAGGAAACTTCCCGCTAGTGAGCCCATTCAATCAATGGGCTGCACACGTGCGACAAATGCGGGAAAGTAGCTCATGCAGAATTTTCAGCTGTGAGTGTGCCATTTTTTCCCCACGTCCACACATGGGGAAAAAAATGCATGTTTTCCCGGCTGCGTTTGGGGTGCCACACACGTTGCACCTTTTTTGCGCATTGCCTGGACACGTGTCAAAGTGTGAGCGGGGACTGAAAATGTTGAATGCTGAAAACACCGATGGCGTCTGGAATGGAAACATTTTGCTGAAAAGTCATATGTCTACAATAGACTATATTATAGTAGCGTATCTTTTTCCCCAGCTGTCATGTAGGTGAGACGGGTCCTCGGTAGTAACTCTTTATAGCTGGCTCACTTTTTTTTACAATGTGCTTGGAAATGTCATGCAGCCTCAGCATAATATTTGGCACAGTCTGCAAAACACGACCACAAAAACTGTCATCCTGGAGAGGAGTCATAGGAACTGCAGATATAGAGAGAATGTAGTCATCACTAGCATTTTGTGTTGCAATGAAGGCTTGGCATGCCATAGCAGTTGCCTTTAGGGAATCTAAGGCTTTAAAAGATGATTGTCACTTGTATTAATTTGGCCACTTGCTCATTAAGGCCTCATTCACACTGCCGTGCATATACATGCGTATAGTACCATATGCAGCTTATGCAAATAAATGGCTCCATACACATAGCTGCGTATGGAGCCGTATATTTGCGTAGCGTAAAAATGCGCAAAAACAGAATGGAACCGAGATGCGTCCGGGCAGCGTATTTCTGCGTGTTTGCGCGCATATACGCAAGTACGTGTGTACAGTTCATGAACATTTCTATTACGAATGATGCGTTGTGGGATTGCAAATAGTGCACGCATATACGCACATATGCTTGTATATACACGCATTATACACAATATACAATTTTGCTGTTGCGTGTGAATGAGGCCTAATACTTGAATCCTATTTGCCATTTGCAGCCAGTCATTTTCTGGGGCTTTTTTCCGTACTGCCTGGATAACAGACAAACCGCCCCCCTCTTCTAGCAGAGATCGGACCTTCTCTGTCAGATATGTTTTTTTCTGTGATCCTTTTGGGAGATGCCCTCTCCTTTCTGTCCTGATGTTACTGGGGCAGGAGTATAGATGGCAATAAAAGTCTTAGGGAGGTGCTAAACCTCGCACACTTTACTATGAATCTGTTCTTATTCCTGGTTGTGTCCCCTTTTGGAGAGATATTTCCCTTCCTGTCCTGGTGGCCCCTGTTACTTTAACAGGAAGTGAGGAGAGGCAGCAGCAAAAACCTGACCCTTCGCACACTGTCCAAACTTTAACTGAACTTAAAATTGACCAAAAACCATGATGGTTTCCCTTTAAAATATAACGCCCCATCGTTGTCTTTGTCCATTGGGCTGTCACTGATGATGGTACTCCTGCGCAGAAGTTACATTATCCTCAGCACCTGGCTCCATATTACATATGCTAAGGAGGACCTGAGGCAGTAGAGTGCACGGCAAATGCACAGTACAGTGTACACAAGAAAGAAAAATGCTAGGGGTAAGAAGCAGCCATTTGTTGGCAGACAAGACTTTGCACGAGTCTTCTGCCAAAAACTCTCTAAAACCTCAAACTTTTTTGGGTTTACTTCCACTTTTAAGCTTTGTAGTACTAAGAGCAGAAATGTTTTACTAGCAGGATCCCCAGGTGAAAATAAAGTAAAAAAGAATAAAAGGAAAACTAATGCAGCCACCACCTTTTGAAAGCTCCGTTCTCACCTAGGCGTCAGCATCTTTGCGCATATTAGCATGCGTTTTGATCTAGCGTGTTTAGTGCATTTTTGTGTGTATTAGATGCAAAACTCAATTGACAAATGCATGCAAAAACATGCACACAATTGTGCAAAACCCTTGCGTTGCGCATTTCCAGGCGTTTCCAAGTCTTTGGGGCCAAATGTGGCAAGCCCCCATTCACACCGCAACAAAAATCTCAACACAAAAAATCCCATTCATTTTAATGATCCCTGTTCACAGCTGAGGGTTTGTCGTAAGCTGTTAAATGGCGAATGCTGGAAAATGTACAATAGCTTTTTTTTGGGCAGTTTACAGCGCGTTTGGCCCCATAGACTTCAATAGAAATGCCTGGAAACGTGTGACACAAGCGTTTTTGTACATTTCTGTGTGCGTTTTTTTGCGTTTTTACGCACGTTTGTCCATTAACCACAATATATTTTAATCTGCTAGCTAAGATGCAACTCTTCATGTGCGCAGGTCTCACGCATAAAAATGCGCATAAAACGCTAGGCTAAATCAAAGCAAAAACGCTGACGCCTAGGTGTGACTGCAGGCTTCAGCTGAGCTCCAGGCAGATAAAAAAGACACAAATAAATACAGCTCAGTATTAATAAACCCATCAAGGAGCATGCTGATACTGATGCATTCATCATACTGCTGCTTCTCCTTTCACTGTCCAATCACAGGCTGTGGGCGTGACAAGACCTGCAAGTGTTACTTAACTGCAGCAGAGAAAAATCATGTCTCCTTCCTGCCAGATTGGACTGTTCTGTGTAAATCTTAGAACAAAAAAAAACCCCCCCCCCCCAAAAAAGCTTCTGTTCTTTTTCCAGCGTTCAGCACTTTACAGCTCAGGTGTGAACAGGGGCCATTATAATGAATGGGATTTCTTGTCGCGCTTAGCTTTGAGTGTGAATAGGGACTAAGGACTGGTAGGCTGCACCATATTCTATTTTTATTCCTGGGTGCATGGGTTAAACAGTATGGCAGAGGTGGGTGCTGGTAGAGATTTAACTGGTGTCCTTTTAATCATGAAGCAGAAGTTTCCTATTGGCATAGTTAGGAAGTTCTCAGACCTTTGTCACTGAAACTTAATTATTAATCTTGGTAACTAAATGGTTGCAGCTACCTGTGATACTGGATCCGTCATAGTTCTACACATACCAATCTGTATTCTCCTCCCTCCTTGTAGTATACAAGCCAGTTTTTTGGCTCTGTGTGTTTGTTCATAGCGGATATCTTCCAGGATTTAACGTTCCATTTCATTAAACAGCCGGTAAGGGTAACGCATGTCGCCGGTTGTTTGAGGCAGACTTCTGCTGTATGACGCATATACACAGAGGTCTATACATTTCAGCATGCTACAGCTCTTGTCTATAAATGGACTTTGTGTGTTCCTCTGATACCAGTCCCCCCTCCTCTTATTACTCCGCTCAATCTTCCCCTTTTTTAACTTCCACTCTAACAGACAACCATTTTTCTTTTTTTTTAAGTATCAGCCCATCCAGAATCCATGTGAACCAAAACCGTTTCCCTTTTGTGTGAGAGCTATTTTTAGCTCTGTTCCCAGAGCTCTTCATTTCAGTTTTTTTTTACTCCTGGAAGTTAAGCATGGGGGATTCGGATATGTAAAAGATATAGAAAGAAAAGCAGAGCAAAATGACGGCTAAACTTAAAGAAGAACTCCGGGCAAATTGCAAATTAACCTTTGTAGTGGGGCTACTTCTCCACTGCTGGAGTTAAGTTCTCATTTTGGTCTAGGGTCTAAAATAAAAATACTGCCCCCGATCCTGCCCCCACGGCCTTCTTTCCTCCAGGCTCCAGAGGTCTAAGCCCCCTGACGTCCTCACGTTTAATACAAGTCTATTGACTTGCATCAGATGTGAGCACACCGAGGGACATACCACAGAGCAATCACAGGATCGAGGATCAGGTGAGTATATCTTTTTTTATTTTAGACCTCAGACCAAAATGAGCACTTAACCCTTGCTGTATGGGGGTAGCCCCACTGCAAGGGATCATTTTTTAATTTGCCCAGAGTTCTTCTTTAGGCCCTGTGCAGACCTCCGTGATTGATTTAAATGGGGGTGACATTTAAATCAATGTCAGCAATCGCAGGAAAAAGGTACAAGTACCTTTTTGTTTTTTTTGCGATACGTGACGCAAGGCTGTTTTAGCCGGAAGCACTAGTGGAATCCCGCGCGAGCCACCCGGCGTGACTAGGGTGCCATCGGCTCACACCTTGGCGACTCGTGACCCTGCAGCAATTCGCGCAGAATCGTGCACGATTGCTGCTCGGTGAGGTGTCGCCTGGGTGTGTTCCGGCCCTTAATCTTTTTAGTCTACTGCCTGGAGATTGAGGAACCTTTTTGGCCCGTATGATCTTTGAGTGTATGAATAGTCCTGAATGTTTATATCCACAGATATGTTTGTACAAAGGAGCTAGTAGGAAGCTCACTGTGTTGACCGTGGCAATCAGTAAGGCTAGGTCCATATGGTTGGCTGGGGGGGGGGGGGGGTTATGGCCGGTAAAAACAAGCCGTTGATCTGCCACTGTAGTTACTGAGGGCAGGCAAGTCCAGAGTGCTATATAAAGCAAAGAATGCCTGATTTTGGGAACAGACTACTCAAGTGTGAAAATATCAGAAATAGGTATTTTTTTTGAGGGTTTTGGGGACAGCTTAAATGTTTGCATTCCAAGTTGTGACTTTTGATGCTCTCCCCTCCCTGAAGGTATGATACAGGACGTGATAACTTCATAGACCTAATGGAGATGAAGCTGATGATGGAAAAGCTGGGAGCTCCACAGACACATATAGGATTGAAAAACATGATCAAAGAAGTGGATGAAGACTTTGATGGGAAACTGAACTTCCGAGAGGTAACATTTTTTTCTGTTTACACATGACTAGAAGTAGTAAAGGAAATACTGAGCAAGTGCCCCTGATTCTTACACACAAGGCAACCTCTGTGTGCCTTACTGCTGTTTTCATTTGCGTGGACCTGTTGAGGTCAAACTTCAAGATTAAATGGTGCATACAACTCCTCTTATTGAAAGCCTGCAGTGTATGCTGCTTAAATGCACACAACCTCCTGAATGCCTGTGCTGTACTATGCATGCAGTATACCTGGGTAGGCAGAGGCTTGAGGTGTGCCCAGGGGCCCACTTATTGTTACCATCTGGAGATGTCATGGATGACAGAAGACAACTCCTTTGGTACAGTATTGTCAAAATGTTATTACCATATATCGGAGAGGAGTCTTAATAGCATATACAGCGAACTTGCACAGTGGATGCCGCTGTTGGCACCCTTCTGGCTGGAATCCCTTAATCAGCTGATCAAATGAGCCAGTTGGAAAATTCTTGGCTGAACAGCGCATGCAGTCAGCTGCCAGCTCCGTTTGGGTATTTTGACAGCGGTTGGTGGCCCTTGGATTGACTAGCCAGTGGCAAAGGCCCTTGGATTGACTAGCCAGTGGCAAAGGCCCTTGGATGGACTAGCCAGTGGCAAAGGCCCTTGGATGGACTAGCCAGTGGCAAAGGCCCTTGGATGGACTAGCCAGTGGCAAAGGCCCTTGGATGGACTAGCCAGTGGCAAAGGCCCTTGGATCGACTAGCCAGTGGCAAAGGCCCTTGGATGGACTAGCCAGTGGCAAAGGCCCTTGGATGGACTAGCCAGTGGCAAAGGCCCTTGGATGGACTAGCCAGTGGCAAAGGCCCTTGGATGGACTAGCCAGTGGCAAAGGCCCTTGGATGGACTAGCCAGTGGCAAAGGCCCTTGGATGGACTAGCCAGTGGCAAAGGCCCTTGGATGGACTAGCCAGTGGCAAAGGCCCTTGGATGGACTAGCCAGTGGCAAAGGCCCTTGGATCGACTAGCCAGTGGCAAAGGCCCTTGGATGGACTAGCCAGTGGCAAAGGCCCTTGGATCGACTAGCCAGTGGCAAAGGCCCTTGGATCGACTAGCCAGTGGCAAAGGCCCTTGGATCGACTAGCCAGTGGCAAAGGCCCTTGGATCGACTAGCCAGTGGCAAAGGCCCTTGGATCGACTAGCCAGTGGCAAAGGCCCTTGGATCGACTAGCCAGTGGCAAAGGCCCTTGGATCGACTAGCCAGTGGCAAAGGCCCTTGGATCGACTAGCCAGTGGCAAAGGCCCTTGGATCGACTAGCCAGTGGCAAAGGCCCTTGGATCGACTAGCCAGTGGCAAAGGCCCTTGGATCGACTAGCCAGTGGGAAAGGCCCTTGGATCGACTAGCCAGTGGGAAAGGCCCTTGGATCGACTAGCCAGTGCGAGTGTTAATTTTTGCTGTCATTGTCCGGGGGTGGTTAGAGCTAGCTCTGTGATTCAGGTGAATTGATGTCACCATACTGGAAGTGAAATACCTCTGGCTGGTGGAGTCAGTCCTTCACAATGACTCACAACTGTCACATGCTATTCAGTAAATAGAAGAAGTGCTCTGGGCCATTCCTCTTCCATGCCAGACATGTTCCTAAATCTTTTTTGAAGAGAATGAAATCTTGTTCTTTTCACCTTCTATGTTTAGTCTTGGGTTACTTTTTCTTCTTCTTTTTCACTCTGGTCGGGTTTCCTTTCAACAAAATAATTTTCTAGCATTTCCTGCAATGGCCATAGTCTATTTCATCACACTTCTGCCTCAGGAGAGCAGTACTGCATTACTTTGCATACTTCTGGGGAAAACCTACATTACAGTGTATGTCAGGGCAAAAACACTGACTAAAAACATATTCTGTATATCTCTGCAAAATGTGCACATTTCTTCATATTTTATGACATCACAAATGCTGCAAGTACTGAAACATGCTTGTTGAATTGCCAGAAATCCAGTGTGCTCCTAACTTACTGCTTGAACTGACAACACATGGCCTCTTCTTCACTGAAATCCCAAGCAGGTTATTGGCCTTGTTCAGTATCTCTGCTGGACTGCAGAACACATCCCTCTCTGCTCATCTCCATAACATAATGGGGAGGTGTTTTGAAGTCAAGGGGAGAACTGGGTAAGCTGACAACAGTTTGGGATTCAGTACAGAGGCATTGTGTAGTCGGCTCTCTACAAGAAGTTAGCGCACTGAATGCATTTCTAGCAGATCAACAAGTATTTTTCTGTACTTGCTGCATTTTCAATAGAAGAAGACCTGGACAAAGTGTGTGTATTGTAGAAAAGTTCTAAATGTGTTTAGAATATTTAGAACATCTCCCTTTTAGCCTCTCCTCCAATCACTGGACACGGAAGTGATGTGTATTACATCCCTTTCGGTGTAACTGTCGACATTCTCCGGATCTGTGCTTCCTCAGCTTCTTTGGGGTCCCTAGGTGACGGGTCTGAAAGACCTCCGATGTCTCCATAAAGAGGACCTGTCACACCCTATTTGCTATTACATAGGGGGCTTGTTAGTCCCCTATGTAAAAGCAATAAAGTCAGTATAAAAAAAAAGTGTTTAAAAAAATGTTTTAAAGTGCCCCGCCCCCCCACATGCACGCACATACATGTGTAAACTGCAAAACATTTCTAGGGCCATCAATCACTCTTAACACTAAACTGATGAGCAGTAAAAGCTTTTTAGCCCCCTATGTGATGGCAATCAAGTAAAGTGTAAAAAAAATTAGTCTCATATTAACCCCTTCACGACCAGTGACGCACAGTGTACATCACTGGCACCGGGCTGTTTAAACAGACTCCCGGTGGTTTTTGCCCCCGGGACTCTGTTTAAACTTGTAAAGCTTTCTGTCGGCTTTACAGTAGAAGCGATTCTGGCGACTCAACTACCGCCAGATCGCTTCTACGGCCCGGCGATCTGCACTTCAATAGCTTATTGAGAGTGTAAAGGTGACACTTTTGGACCCCCAGCATCACCTTAAAGAGTACCTGTCACCACCATCTGCTATCACATGGGGGGCTTGTAATGGCAATTAAAGTAAAAAAAAATTAACATTAAATAAAATGTACAAATAATAAAATAAAAAAATGAAAGTCCCCCGCCCCCACGAGCATGCACACACATGCGTCAGGTGGGCCTACGTATAAAAACGACAAACGCACTACAAATGTTGGGTATCGCCCAAGAGAGCAATCATTCTAGGGCCAGTATTTTTGGGTATCTCTAAACTAATGACCTGTGGGGGCTTTTAAAGCTTCATCTATTTACTTTTTAGGGTTATGAATGTTGTCACCGTTTTCATGGACACGTGCAATTTTTAACCTGGGCATGTTTGTTATCTATTTACTCATTGTAACCTCATCTTTTATATTTTATTAACCTCCCTGGGGGTATTCCCGAGTGTAGCTCAGGGTTACTTTTCCATACCATAAGCGGTAACCCCGAGCTACTGCATAGCATTTACTTACCTTGTCCCTCGAGCCGCGCTGTTCTGCGGTCGATGCCGTCTTCCAGATTCCGTCCCTTGTGAGCACGCGTCGCAGGGGGGCGAAACTGGTGGGATATTTTTTTTAAAACGGCAAAGACGAAAAAAATTCAAGAAAAAAATAGACCGAAAAATGACATGAAAAAAAAAAATCATACCGCCAGGGAGGTTAAACAAATGGGTAATTATTGTGGTTTGAGGCATTTAAGTGCATTTTTCACAAAATGTTGGGGTTTGATAAGGAGTTGCGCTTATATCGCGGACCATAAAAATTTCCACCTGCCACCATTTTATTCTATAGGGTCTTGGCTTTCAGAAAATATATAATGTTGGGGGGTTTTAAGTAATTTTCAGGCCTAAAATGTGGAATATAACATGGGTGCAAAAAAATGGAAAAAAAGCTTCGGTCATGAAGGGCTTAAATAAAAAAAAAAGAAGGAAAAAACACCCAAAAAAGTTTTACGTCCCCCGCGTGCACGCACTTATAAAAGTAAATACGTGTCGGGTGCGCCTACGTGCGATAACGATTACGCCACACATGTTGCATATCGCCGCAAACGGGAGTGCAAGCAATAATTATAGGGCCGTGGGGGGAAACAGTTTTTTATTTTTTTTTATTTTTGATAGTTTTCCCTTAATATAGTAAACAATAAAAAACTCAGTGGTGATTAAATACCACTAAAAGAAAGCTTGATGTGTCCCCAAAACATGGTATAAAATTCATTTCAGTACAGCGTTGTATGACGGAATAACGTCAAAGTACCTCAGCGCTGAATACTGAAAAATGGCCAGGAAGGGGGTTTAACCCCTTCGTGACTGACGATGTACAGTGTACGTCGCCAGCATCGGGGCTGTTTAAACAGACTCCCGGCGACAGGTTAACACCGCAGACAGCAAGTGGTTAAAATTAAATCTGTTTACTCATTTTTAAATGACTCCCATTAATTCATACACACCCAGTACAGTCATGATTATTACTCTGGATTTACATCTTAATGTGCAACTAAAGTAACAGATTGACATCCCCTCCTGAGTGATTCCTTCCAAAATATGAAGGTAACATTCCTGAAATACTGACTTGTATACAACAGTTCTCCCCTCATGAAAGATTGTTATTTATGCAAAAATACATCTGATTTTTAATTCCCTTTACACTGGAGGTCCTCAGACATTGTATACATTGTACACTATATATAACCCCTGCTCTTCAAGGCTCTGCGTCGGGATGAAGGCTGCTACTGTGCCATCCTCCCACATTGGTTCTGAAAGAGGGTTTGTTAATCATTTGTACAGGACTGAACCCTAACCTCCAAAAATATTTTCTAAATTCCTTCCTCCAGTGAAAACATCCCAGAATATGCTAGTCTGTTTTGTGACAGTATACAACTGCTGCAGAGTCTGGCATCCTCCCAGTATGTTGGTAACCCGGAGGCTGTGGGCAAGCTTAAAGGAGAACTATGAGGTGAGTGCTTTTCACTCCCCTCATAGTTCTAGCCGA